GCGTGTGCGTGTGCGGGCGTGTGGGTGAGGGTGCAGGCGTGTGTGTGCGTGTGTGCACGGGTGCGTGTGTGTGTGTGTGTGTGTGTGTGTGGGTGTTATAGATTTTCCCCACAACAGCCCCAATTCCACCCAGATGAATAGATTCAGAATCAAAGCAGTCTTTGTCCTATTGCAGAACAATGAGAGCATTTGAGATGCCCAACATATTAAAGCAATTTTATAATTAAACAGTTTCTTGGTTGTCCTTGGGGTACCCCTTTCATTGTTCTTGCAGCTCCCCTTCTACTGTGCCTCTTACGCACAAGGCTGCCCACGTTGATTGTGGTTGAGCGGCAGCTGTACGCATCAACGTGTGCCTTCACGGCCCACTTGCACGTTATTTCAGGAGGCAGAGTAAGAGGGAAGGTATGCTCCTGTGCATTTCTCTTCAGAGCTTCATACTCCTGTTCATTTCACTTCAGATCTTCAGCTTATACAGTCTTTGTGTCCGTCCTTCATCTTCATACTTCTGTTCATTTCATTTCTGATCTCCATATCGTCTGTTCTCTTAATGATGCTCATTCATATGTATTTGTTAGTAGCACAAAGGGAGTGGAGGGAAGGGTGGAGGGAAAGGGATAGAAGGCGGAGTTCTACGGGGGTATAGGGCAGGGGAGGTGGGGGCAATGGAAAGGAAAGAAATATGTGGAGGGCAGGATAGAGTATGACATGCAAAGAAAGAGCAGGGAAGAGGTGTATGACGAGCTTCGCAGAATTCTAAATATTCACCGCTGAAACAGACTACTCTAGCAAAAAAAACCTATGGCAAGTGGCCACCACTACAGACCGGACAGAACCAGTTCAGGTGTGGGCTATGAAAGCACCGCATCCGATTTTCGCAGTCACAGTTGCTGCATCGAATGGCACGGTGCAGACAGATGTCACAGGCGACGTGGCTCATACATTCTAGGAACACAGAGGCACGTCGACCGCAATTGTAGAGGCCTTGCCGTTCCATCCCATCTACAAATTGGACATGACATGTCGGGATGCAGTACATGAGTACAGTGCACTGTGTGTGTGTGTGTGTGTGTGTGTGTGTGTGTGTGTGTGTGTGTGTGTGTGTGTGTGTGCGTGTGTGTGTGTGTGTGTGTTGGTAAAGCACCCCAAATTCTCTCTCTCATTTCCTCCACAAATCATAACAAACCATCCATAACAAAAAAGTGTAGATGAACAGCTTAATAGAGCCAAGTGCCCACACACCCGTCTACAGCCGAAGCGGCAGACTTGCACTATACATATATACATATATTTATTGATCCATAAAAGCGTGGAGGGCAAGACGCAACTTACCTAAGACAGACGACTCCACCAGCAAGCAACCACTGACCCATCTGCCATAGGTCCGGAAAAACTTGGAGAGCCCTCCACATCCCCACAAAATCACAAAACAGCCTAACACAAGAGGCTCCACTAACAAAAAGCACCGACCACACATTCCAATGGTCTAATTTTTTTTTCCAGAGCCCTCTAGGACGGCCTACAATGCCACCACAAATAAAAAATACACCGCAGGAACTGTACGCAACACCAAGAGTCCTATAAACCTCCCCCTGCCACGCAACCTGCAGAATCGGATGATGTCCTAGTGCTACAGCGAAGCCACTGCGAGAACTATGCCAAATTCCAGAAGATCTCCACGCAACACCAGTAGCGCTACTGCTTAAAACACCTTTGGAGGCGCCCCATTCTTCCATGTGCTCCAAAAGAGCAGCCCGCGGGAATGACACCCACAGCAAGCACTCTCTGTGCCTCCTCGCAGAGATATTGTGCCCAACTACAGATTACTTCAGCCCATTCTACAAAGCATGGCAAAGAATTCGGCCATGTGTGTGTGTGTGTGTGTGTGTGTGTGTGTGTGTGTGAGAGAGAGAGAGAGAGAGAGAGAGAGAGAGAGAGAGAGAGAGAGAGAGAGAGAG